CCTGCTCTGCTATCAGAATCCAGAATAAGAGGGATAGGGAAGATTTTGTGGGATCCTGAACGGTTTCTTGCTGCTGGAGTGGCCCTTTGGGGGACAGTTGGCATGGCAGCAGATGTGGGCACATGATGACAAGTACAAAAAATGCTTGGAAAAAAAAAAAGAGCAGAAAGAGAGAGAATCCTGGCAAGATGGATGGAGAGAACACAGCTGAGAGCAAGAGGAGGAGACATCCAGGCCCGTTGGATGTTTCTTATGTCCAACTTGGGAATTCACTTGCTCAAGGAAGCACCAGTTTGCCATAGACTGAGGATCTCTCCAGGGGTTGTGCTGAGACGCTCTGGGGAGGGAGAACAGACACTAAAGGGAGAGGAAAGCCTTTTGTCCCTTGCAGGAGCAGGAGAATTGAACAAGACACAGCTCAGCCCTGTGTGCAAGGATTTGTTTTTCACGGAAGGAAGAGGGGCACTGTGGCTATACATTATATTTGTGTCACCCCATTTACGTAGATGCATCTCAGGAGACTTTGCAGCTGATTGTGCTCTTTGCATTCAAAGGAAGGAAACCAGCTGGACGCCCTTCCCTCCCACGAGCACGAACAGGAGGGCAGAGGTGAGACCAGACAGCAACTGCTCAGCACAAGGATACAGGAAAATGTGGCCATTTCCATGAAAAACAGAATTAAAAAGGGAAATTCAGAGCACTGCCTGGAAACCCGGCTGCTTCCCCCATTTCCAGGTGCACAAACCTGGCTGGAACATTTTGCAAGTATCCTGCTGAATCATCCAGACAGGTGGATTTGGTTGGTTCTGCCAAGAGGAGCTGGAAGCCTTTTCCTGGCTGAGGTGTATCTTCAGGGGGAAATCCTAGAAACAAACTTGGCACACACAGATTTTGGCTTGGGCTCACTAAAGCCACGTTGCAAACAAAAAAAGGGGTTGGTGAGGAAGGATGTTTTCAATAGTGTCCATCTGTCAGTGCAGGAGAGAGGGGACAAATTAAAAACTGCATTGGAAAGAGATGGGAATTTTGGCTTAGGAGAGATCCTCTGCCTTGCTGACCTCTAAAGTGTAGAATCATGTAATTACCCTGAGGATAATCCAGTTCAACTCCTGGCCCTGCACAGACACCCCAACAACCCCACCCTGTGCCTGAGAGCTCTCCTGGAGCTCTGGCAGCCTTGGGAACATGGCCATTCCCTGGGGGGCCCACCATGCTCTGGTGAAATAATAATAAAGAGAAATATAATAAAGAGAAATAAGAATATCACGGTCAGATGGTGCAAAGGCAGCCACCAAAGTAAAACCAGGCCTGGGCTAATGATTCTTTATCTGCATGGGTTTTTTTTATTCTTAGGTAGTTCCTTTAGTTTACGGAGCATCTTCCAGAAGGAAGAACCTCCACACTGATTGATTAAATAAGTCATTTAATTAACTGCTGGAATTCTGTCTCCTCCACAGTGAAATACCTTTGTGCAGCTCTAGTGTGCAATCGTGTTTACAGAAGCAGCAAAGATAATTCCTTTGGCTGCAAAGCCCATGGAAATGTAGGCGGTCATAGCACAGTTCGGGGTGAGAAATGGGAGCTGCAGGAATAGCAGGATTTCCTAAGCAACAAAGATCTGCTTCACTTAAAATATTTCAGGAAGAAAAAAACCAAAAACCAACCCAACCAAACCAGAAAGATGTCAGGAAGGTTTTAGCTTCAGGGACGGGGGAAAAAGGTGATTCCGTTTCATCCCTTTTTGGTATTTCCAAGGAATTGAGGCCTCCTAACCCTAGAATAAGGAATCCCTGCCAGGCAGTGTAGCCACCAGGGACAAATCCCCTTGCAATGCTCTTCAGACACATTTGACATCCAATGCAATTCAGCAGAAGCAGTGAAAGAGCAAAACCCAGAAGTGATAATAAAAACTGCGGGGAGGAAGCGAACACATCCCAGAACCTCGGATAACCACTGCAAGAACAGATCTGTCACCTGGGGGCTCAGGCAGCACCTTCTCCAAGGAAAACTCATGTGGATGGCAGCGTTTTCCTCGGCAGCAAGTCCCAGCGAGCCTGTGGTGGCACCTGAGCAAGAGCAGAGCCTTGGCAGCGTCCCTTTGGCACCTCTTACATAAGCGTTGCACAACGCGCCCGGTTTCTGTTTGCGAAGGGCCGGGGATATGAAAAGCAACTGGAAATGCTGCCTGGGTAAGTGGGACACTCGAATCAAGGTAAATTATGAAACTGCTCCTGCCATTGGAATGCAGGATGGATTTAAATCCAGGTTTTCTCTGAATTCCGGGGCCTTTTCTGCGCTGTGTCTCGCGGTGTTGAACGCCAGCTGTGCTCTCCCTCTGTGGGGTATTTTGTCTTTTTGTCTTTCCTCCATTTAGCATCGTTTTTCCTCGAGAATCCTTCCAGTGCATGAACGTTCTGCTGTAAAATCAGCTCTTTGTGATTCGGGCAGCAAGAATGTAAAGATGCTTCCTAAGAAGGGCTGTTTGCAACTGGGAAAATAAAGGAAGGATGAATCGGTGGAGAGAAGGGATGGATGAAAATGAACAAATGCTGAGTCACTCTCTGGACAAAAGATCAAGCCTTTGACTTGGGATCATAGGAAACAATGCAGGAAAAGGCCTTGGGAGTTCATGCAGACAATTCCCTCAGCACAGCACAGGATCAAACCTCTCCACTCCTCTTTCACTGGGATACCACATGCCATGATGGCAAGAGAAAAGGAGAAAATGCCAGTAAATGGGGCAGTACAAGCTTGACCTTAGCAGCAATTCTCAAAGGGAATGAGGAAAACAGAACTGAGCTCATCCCAGTTTAATCAGACTTTCAAATTAACAAATTTCCTTTTCCATCCTCTTTTTTTAAATTTTTTTTTTTTTATTTCCCCTGTCCATTTCCCAGCTGCTTTTCTTTTAATCTCCTCTTTCAACCTATCTGAACCCCTCAGAAAGTGTCCACAGTAAGAAATCCCTCCTCACAACACCTGTCTCTTCTCTGATACATCGAAGCAGCAACAGGCACGTGCAATCTCAGGGATTAGTTATAAAAATCCTAATGCAGCTTCTGCAAAGCTGAGTGAGCTTCTCGTGGTTGTGGTGCCCGGCAGGGGTGGGCAGGATTCAGCTGTCTGCCATGTGAGAGAGCCAGCACTTCAGAGAGCCAAAATTACATGTTTCCTTCTGATGCTGTAAACACAGGGAAGAGGCCAACGGGAGGCAGTCACAGAGTGTTGGAGGAGGCACTCAGGAATTAAGTATCAGCATATCAATGGGAGCACAACAACACATGGCTTTGGTACATATCAGATGCCTGGAAACTGAAAATTGGTTCGTTTTTGAGTGTTCTTCCCACTGTCAGGAATGAAGAGCAAATCCTGCTGGCTCCTGTGAATGCAACAAAGCTGGATGGCCACTGGCTTTCCCTGAGTGCAGAAATATCAGCGCTCTCCCAAAATCTCCTCTTGCAGATACAATCTGGGGCTCAGTTCCCTTCCCATCCTGCCAGATTTTGTCCCTCTGGTGACCACCACATTTCCAGTTTAATCAGCTGATCTTTGAGTGCTGTGCCATGTGTCTTCCAAAGAGCAGCACTGGGCTGTGGCTTCAGAGTCAGGTTGATTCCAGCAGCTTGTTGGCATCACAAGAGTGGGCAAACAGCAGCTGAGGACAAGTGTGTTCACTCCCATGCTGGTCCACATGGAGCAGGTGGGAGTGGGCAAGTTCCCTGTGGAGCAGAAAGCCAAACACAGCATGGGCTGCGTGCCCAACAGGGTGGGCAGGAGGCTGAGGGAGGGGATTATTCCCCTCTACTCTGCTCTTGTGGCAGAACCTACTTGCAGTGCTGCTTCCAGCTCAGGGGCCTCCAGCATCAGAAGGATGTAGAGCTGCTGGAGCAAGTCCAGAAGAGCCACAGAAATGCTCTGAGGGCTGCTCTGGAGCCAGGCTGGGAGAGCTGGGAGTGCTCACCTGGAGAAGAGAAGGATCCAGGGAGAGCTCAGAGCCCCTTGCAGGGCCTGAAGGGGCTCCAGGAGAGCTGGAGAGGGACTGGGGACAAGGGATGGAGGGACAGGACACGGGGAATGGCTTCATCTGGGTTAGATGGGATATGAGGAAGGAATTCTGACTGTGAGGGTGGTGACACCCTGACCCAGATTGCCCAGAGAAGCTGTGGCTGTCCCATCCCTGGAGTGTTCCAGGCCAGGTTGGATGGGGCTTGGAGCAGCCTAGGATAGTGGAAGGTGTCTCTGCCCGTGGCAGAGGGTAAAATGAAATGAGCTTCAAGGTCCCTTCCAACCCAGACCATGCTGGGATTCTATGTTATCAACTGTGCTGCACTGAAATCCTCCCCAAAGCTGTCCAAGTCCAGCTCTTAACGCTGCATCCTTTGTGCCACATCTGCACCAGCACAGTGTCTCCTGCTGCCTGTGGATGCTGCCGGCACAGGCAGAACTGGGGGAGCAGGGCCTGGCTGACCCCACCCCAGGGCAGATCCCTGCGGTGATTTCTCAGCCCAGATGTTCCCCCGCACTCACCACCCGTCCTGGTTGTGCCGTGTCCCGCAGCCACGGCCCCTCGTGGGGCCCACAGGGATGCTCGGTGCCCCAGATGAGCCGGGTGCCCTGCCCTGGGGCCGATGCCTCCAGGCTGTGGGTGCCTACAAGTGCATCCAGTGCCCCCAGGTTAGGACACTCCAGGTGTGGGTGCCCCAATGGTCCCAGTGCTCTGGCAGGGATAACCTGGATGTTGGAGCCCCCCACCAATACCCCCGCGGGTGGCTGTGCAGCACCACGAGCGGCAGCCCCGCCCGCGGGCCCCCTTGGCTGCGCGCACCCCGAGCAGCGGTGCCCGGGGCCGGCCCCGCGGGTGCCGTGGGCGGGTGCCGCGGCGGGCCGGACCGTGCCGGGCCGTGCCGCGGTGCAGCGCCGAGCGGCGGGCGGGGATGCTGCTGCTGCCGCCGCCGCCGGCTCCCCCGCCCGCCCCGCGCCGCCGCCGCAGCCCCGCCAGACGCAGCGCGGCTCGGAGCGCGCACGGAGCCTCCCGCAGCCGCCGCCATGGCCCGGAACCGCCGGGACAGGAGCAGCTGGGGTAGGGCGGCAGCGGCAGAACCGGGGGGGAGCGGGGGGAGCGCGGACAATGCCGGGCCTGAGGCGGCCGCGGGCCGCGCCGGGGCGGGGCTGCGGCGGGAGGACGCGGCCGGGGGGCTCGGCTGGCCCGGGCGGGGCGGACGGCTTGCCCGGTGCCGAGGCGACACACGAGTGTCTGGGATCCCCCCGTGCTGTTCCTGAGGGGTCTGGGGTCCGCCCGTTCTCCGCCGGCGTGAGGGGGATCGGGGGTGCGGGATGGGGCGCCCCTCGTTCCGGGGCCTCCTGAGGAGAGGTGTCCCCGGCTCGGGCCGGTCACCGCCCTCGGCCTGGCTGCAGCGGGACCCCCTGACTCACCTGGGGCCAGACAGCCCCGGCAGCTCCCTGGGGAGCCTTTGGGCTGCCCCGTCTCTCCTCCGGCTTGCCCTGACACCCCTTGCCCTGACCCTGCTGTCCCCTCAGCCCCTGATGGCGGATGCCACCTCAGCCACCACCCCACCTCGGAGCAGGGATCCCGCTCACCCCACCTTCCGCAGGCAGAGCCGCCACAAGGCCACCCCTGGCTTGTCATCCCTCCAGAGGGTTTCCCCCGTTTCTGGAAGCTGTAAGATTTAGTTGTCGAGTCACCCTTCCAGACAGGGCCCATTTTCAACCCGTCCCCTCACAGCCCCCTGATCCCGGGGGAGCTGGGGCAGCGGCGCCAGGGAGCGGAGCGAGGTGCCGGCTGGGGGAAGTTCTGTGGTCTCTTCCTGCAAGGTTTCGGTTCCCTCCAGAGGCGTCTGGATCCTCCAGCAGCTGCTGCTTCCCACTGGAGCCCACGCTGGTCCCACAGGTGGGCTGCACCCAGCAAGGAGCTCCTCCACCTTCAGCCAGCCTGTGATGTATCGCTTCACCCACTCCCAGTGACACGCTGTTCCGTAGGAAATCTGATTTTATCCAGCCATTTCCCGTTATTTGAGGAGAGCAATTTGCCGTTTCCTCCAGAGTCGTAATTCCATGTGAGCTCACTCACGGGTGCCGGCGGTATCCCGGCTCCTCAGGCAGAGCGGGTGAGCTGAGCTGTGATGTTTAGATACACAAATTACATTCTAATTTGTGTAGATGAGCGTAGGATTTCCCATGGCAATGATTAACAGTTTGGAGGCATGCTGGAGGAAGCGTTGGGATAACGGAGTGTCTGAGCCGGTGATGGGCTTTTTGGGATATTGGGGGGAGAAAATGGGCAAAGCTCATTTGATCGGTGCCGTGTTTAGCTGTGACTTAATAAAGGTCCTCAGATCCTTGGGTAAACCGGAGGGAAAACTTGCCAGGGAATGTAGTGCCATTCTCAGCTTTGTCTCGCAGAGCGTGTGACAGACGTGTCAGCCCTGACTCCGTGCGTGTTGGGAATTGCACACACGTCCACACGCTGGTGCCTTCCCTGCACATCCTGAGAGCAGGAGGAGGGAATGCAAATGATGCCGGATGGAAGCGGAGGGAGCATCACCCTGGGAAGTACAGCCTGGGTCCAGCAAGGGAATTAGGCACATCCCTCAGCCTGTGATGCTGAGCCCTGCTCCTGGGAAATGTGATGTGTCACTGAGGGGATGGATGAACTCTTCCTGAGCTTCTCTGCAAGGATCTGGAAGCATCCATGTATCCAAATGGATCTCTGGGGGATCAGTTGCCTTCTGCTGCCACCCATCCACAGCTCAAAATCATTCCCTGTATCCCATAGACATTCACCTACTCCTAGAGGATTTACTGGCTCTCTGCCAGGCTTGACGTTAAGAGTAAGAAATTAAGAGAGTGAATTGCTTCAATTTTTTAATAGGAAAGAAAAAGAAAGGGCTGCCTCTAATAAATTTATTTATTTTATTTATACAACAAAACCTCATTGCCTTGAAAGCTGTGTTTACATCCAGTGACTGCAGCATTGTGTGGTGACATCAGTCCATGGGGTGACTATTCCACTGCTACATTTTTCAGCTGGCAAAGGAGGAGGCTCAGGCTTTTCCTGAATCTAAGGCAGAAAGGAGAAAGTCCTTGCTTTGTTCTAGAAATGGGCTTATGGGTCATTAAAAATATTAATGCTATTTTGAAACGGATCAAACTTTGCCCTAGTTACTCAGGCCTGGAAACAGGCAGCTGCTGAGTGTAACCCTCCTTTGTTTCATAAAAATAATTTGCTTTTTTAAAGCTCACAGAGCAAATTAGGGTGAGTATGTGGGATTGCCTCTGGTCATAGCTAGGTCGTTGTCACATCCCCGGGAGCTGTAGGGGTGTGTGATGCATCCAGAGTAGGATTTAGCCTTGGGCTAAAGGTCAGCAGAAGGTTATGCCTCATTTAAGGCTCTTCCTGAATGTGCCAGGCTGTGCCTAGACCTCACAACTGCTGCCAGTTGAATGGTTGAGGCAGCTGCAGATGAAAAAACAAATCACAAATAATTTCTTGATGTGAGTAGTGGACCCTGCTTTTCCCAAAGTAAGGATTGTTAGTCCAAGTTCTGGAGGTTTGTAATAGATTACACTGATTTTTGTCTGAAATTCATTGTGCTTGGCAGTTGCAGATGTTCAGCAGCCTGGAGCCTCTGATCCAGTGAGATCCCTGCTCCCAGTCACTCCTTTAAACAGCACAGACTGGAACAGATCGTGTGAAATCTCATGGCTCCCATCCTGGCCAATTTTGTGTTGAAATTGGAATGACCCACCTATCAAGAATTCAGTTTTAAAACCTTAAAAAGGATTACAGAGGTTATAGATACTTATTGGTGAGGGTTTTCCAGCTGGATTGGGGATTTAGGAGAGCTCCTAAAGGGCGCCAGGAAAAGCCAAGGAACTATTTTGAGGAGAAGAGACTCCTCTCCAGGATTAGCCAGGGATCATCACTGCCACATCTTAGACTGCACACAATGGGTTAAACTGAGAAGAAAACTGTGATTTTGGTAGGTTGTTTTTCACTTTAAGCATGTTAACATCCTCTCTGTTTGCTGTTTGATTTCTGCCCTTTTGTGATGGATTTTCAGTTTCCACTTCCTGGCATTTCTCTGTGACTCTGAATGCTGGGAACCTGACAAGTGAAAGCTGAGATAGAGACAGAGGGGCCTTTACACAAAAAGGCAGAAATATTCACAACCAAATGACTGGCTTGTGAAAGAGAAAAGAAAAAAAAGTGCTGGGACTTGAAAGAAGAGACAAGTCAACATTGGAAGCTGAATGTGATTATAGAATCATGGAATGAGCAAGGACATTTTCCAGTAGATCAGGTTGCTCCAAGTCCCATCCAACCTGGCCTGGAACCCTTCCAGAGATCCAGGGGCAGCCACAGCTTCTCTGGGCGCCCTGTGCTAGGGCCTCCCCACCCTCAGAGGGAAGAATTTTTTCCTAATATCCCATCTAACCCTGCCCTCTGGCAGTAGGAAGCCATTTCCCCTTGTCCCTCCAGGTCCTCATCCGAAGTCTCTCTCCCATGGCTGTTGTGCAGTGTTGTACAGGGAATTGGAATAGCTGGGATTCACCAGATGGGCAGGAGCAAGAGCAGCCTGACTTTTTCTTTTTGGGGAAAAACCAGGATGGCCTGAGCCTGCCTCAGAGTGGTGCCATGGTGCCCTTGTCCTGCCTCGTGTCATGTCCCTGCCATGAGAGGCTCTGGCCTTGGCTGCCTCCCTGATTAATGGAAGTGGTGTTGGTTGTGTCTGGCTGCATTTTCCCTGTTAAACCCATGGGTGACAAACAGCACACTTAAATATTTGTTTAGGGCTTGGGTGATGTTCAGAGGCAGCAGGTTTTATATCAGCTCCCCTGGATCACTGACTGGAACCTTCTCCAGCGGGGGAAGGAGGCTGGGGCAGGTATTGGCTGCTCTGTGAGGTACAAGGCATCCCACGGATCACTTCTGAAAGTCACTTCACTCTGGAGAGCCCCCGGCTCCTCTGCTCCTGCCAGAAACTCTCCCATTTGCCATCAGTCCAGGAGAAGTGAAGTGTTACAGCAGGAAAATAAGTGAACACAGATCTCCCAAATGGGCTGGAGGCTCTGGAGAAGGGGCTGAGTTCTGCCAAGCCCATAAAGCATATTTAAAGCACTTCATACACATAAGCATTTTATGCAGAGTGTAATTACCTTTCATGTTATATCCTAAAATTTCATAGCATGTTTACCAAACTTTATTTTCAGGCAATTTCAGCAACAAGAGAGTAGAAATAATTTAATGTCAGAAAAAACTAAATCCAGTACTGGTGGTGGAGATGAAGGGAGGCTATTGCTGACAAACAGAGCAGATGAAGGACCATGCAGAAAATGTGTGCTGGGAGGGAAGTTTGGGTTCTGGAGATGTATCCCAGGAAGTGTCCAAGGCTAGGCTGGATGGGGCTTGGAGCAGCCTGGAATAGTGGAAGGTGTCCCTGCCCTTGACAGGGTGTGGAATGAATGAGATGTTCTTTAGGTTCCCATCCAACCCAAACTGTTCTGGGATTCTGTGTTACCCTGGAGCCTTGCTAGAAAGGGAGCAGGCCCAGGGATTGCACCTGACAAACAGATAATGGCTTTTTGCTCTTCCAGCAGTGTTTTGACTATAGGAGGTGTCCACCTTGCCTCTCACTTAGCCATGCCTGCTACCTGAGCTGGCACGGGCACAGGCACGTAACTGTCTAACCTGACCTCAGACTTCCTGAAAAAATTCTACAAAAAAACCTCTGATTTGCTTTGTTCCCAAGCTGTGTCTGCAAAGCTCAGCCTGGGAATTCGTCAGCAGTAGGAACTGCTCTTACTTCAGAGCCAACTAAGCACTGGAGCTTCATGTAGTAGGTGTTGTAATTAAAAAATTCACGTTGTACTTTGGCATTTGAGATGTTGTAACAGGCAGGTTTGGGGACCAGTTATCATCCAAACTCTTGCTCTTGTCAGCAGTGGTTCACGTGGGAAGGTCCCAAACCACTCCTGCTATCAGCAGGATCATTCATCCTCTTGTTCCCTCTGCCAAGAGGAGAAGAGGCTGAGCTGGCCACGCTGGAGCTGAAGCTGTGC